GAATGGCTAAAATTAAAAATAGTGATAACCCTAAATGTTGATGAGGATGTGGAAGAACTGGATCACTCATACAATCACTCATGCCATTCAAACCATGTCATAGCTATCCTGGAAAACAGTTTGGTAATTAAAAAAAAATCTAAACACTCAACTACCATATGACCCAGCATTTCTACTCTTGGGGATTTATTCCAGAGAAATGAAAACTTATGCTCACATAAAAACCTATACATAAATGTTTATAGCTGCTTAATTTCTAATAGATAAAAATTGGAAACAGCCCAGATATCCTCCAAAGGATGAGTGGTTAAACAAACTGTGAGACATCTATATTATATGGAATCCTCCTTAATAAATGGGAATGAACTGTTAATGATGAAACTTGAAAGAATTATGCTGAGTGGAAAAAAGCCAACCCCAAAAGGTTCTACACTGTATGATTCCATTTATATAACATTCTTGAAATGACAAAATTACAGCAAAGGAGAACAGATTGGTTGTAGCTGGGGCTAAGGAGGATGTGGGGATTGGAGAGAAGCATGTGGAGGTATAAAAGGACGATATGAGGGAGCCTTGAGATGATGAGAATGTTCTGATCTTGATTGTATCAGTGTCAATATCTTGGGTGTGATATTGTCCTACAGTTTTACAAGATATTTGCAAGATACGGCTTTAGTTAATCTGTAAGCTTGATGTGTAAATTGAATGACAAAACAAGGTAAAACAAAAGAAAAGATAAAAAGTTTCCAAAACAAGGTAAAAAGAAAAAAAAAGCAAAATAAGTCCTCATATCATAATAATTTGTAAAACATCTCTTATCTTTTCCTCTAATTGTCATCTCTCTCCCTTCTTTGCTATTCAACAAATGAGTCTTTGTTATTCAACAAATGGGGAATCTTAATTCGTTCAAGTAGATTCATGTCAGTTTTTGCTGTTAAAGAAAATGCCATTCTGTGGTCCAAATCACCTGCATACTTTATAGAATCCTTCCTGGGGTTTTATGATGACAAGTGTTCCCACCATTCAGACAATAAAGACCTTGGTGTGTAGTCAAGGGAGCAAAGCCAGGCCTGCTCTTTTCCTTCCTGTCAGTTTTTCCGATAGGTTTGTTCTGTTGTTCCAGAAATATTATCAAGTTCTCTAATGCCTTAATCACTTTTTCTTCCCGGAATAAAATAAAAATGAGTTAACCACTCATTTCAGTGACAGGGCTGAAAAGCGTGATAAACTGCAATATCTTTATCTGCACCATCCAGCAGTGATAGAATTCTCCTGAATTTTGTACCAGAAAATCCCAGAGCTGGGCCAGTGCCCAACACCCTTAATCCACATATGTTTGTAAACTGGCATTTTTAATGACAGTCACTTCATCACTTCTGCTTAAAGTGCTTATAGAATAAAGACACCACAGGAAATTTAAGTAAAGTTATTTATTATTTATAATTTTAATTGCCACACAACTATACATATTTATGGGATACAGTGTGATGTTTTGATGTATGTATATAATGTGTAATGATCAAATCAAATAATCACCATTTCCATCACCTAAGACATTTATCATGCCATTGTGGTAGGAACATTCAAAATCCTCTCTTCTAGCTCTCTTGAAATAGTCAATGTATTATTGTTAACTATAGTCACCTACTATGCAATGTAGTACCAGAACTTATTCCTGAACAGTAACTTTGTACCTGTTGACCAACCTCTCCCCATCCGTCCCCCTCCACTGCTCTTCCCAGCCTCTGTTAACTACTATTCTCTAAGTAAAATGTTTGGACAAATACTTATAGTTTTCTGGTTTTAGACACCCCAAAACAAACTGAAAATGAAGAGGATTGACTCATGTATACATTAGAAAGCTTTTACTTATAATAGTATAGTATACTCTCTATTCAGAGATATTTAGCTTTTGTAGGAGCCTCTGATTGTGGATCCTCATAGATAAGTTTATGATTTTCTAGTTCTTGTTCATCTCAGCATTCTTCTTAGTCATCATGAAAGACTGGGAATGTGGTGAGCACAAGAGACCTTAGCTGCTTTTGAGGTTGTCAGAGGGTTGACCACAACAGTTATTTCCCTTCCTAATTCATATTTTGAAAGTCAAAGCAAAATCCAGAAACATTTATTGATTTCAGGAAGAGTGAACAAGCAGTATAAGCCCAGCCCTTGACCTTGAGTAGCTTGCAATCTACTAGCAAGACAAGCATAAATGTAGTCAATATAAATATAGTCAATAAAGATATTGACTAATAGTGCAGTTTATTCTGTATTAAATGAATTCTATTGCAATGCTTGATCTGAGTTCAATAGAGAGAGAAAAAAATTCAAGCTCAAGCCACAAAATGAAGGCCTGACAGAGAGCAAAAAGGATGTGAGATGAAGAACCCATGCTAAACAGGCTGCTTTCTGATTTTCTAAAGTAGACTCTATACCATGTAACTTGTCCCTGAGGATCATAACTGTCATCAACCAATATGTTAATTTTCTAATTATGGAATGCCTTCATTCCTGAAAGCAACTTCAGAATTTTTTTCCTCCCCTCCCTGGCACTGCCAGTCCCAAGCCCTGTGCAGCAACATGGTAGTGCTGCTGGGAAAAATGCCGAAGTATTTTTCTTTGCTACTTTTCTTCTTGCTATTTCCCACAAGTGTCTGGCTTCAACCTTAGAAATTGTCCTGGTGAATGAAGCTTAGGCTGTAGTCAGCAAAAAGACAGGGCTAATAAAACACTTTTCTCTCCCATGGGAAGATAACAGGCACATTTTTCAGTGTCACTCTGAGATAGAGAAGTTGAAAAGCTGGCTTGCATTCCTAGAAGAGGTAACAGTAAGCCTCCTGATTTACAGCACACATCATTCTATCAGTTTCTTTTCAGGCAGCCTATCTGGCTTTTGAAAATCTTCCTTACCTATGATTGCTGTATCACTGCATAATGAGTATGCATGAAAGAGACTAAAGTGGACCAAGCCCTGGGCTGCCATTTAGGGCATCCTGGCTTCCAACCACTGCTAATTAATTATTTCATGGTCCCAGCATCTTTGCCTATAAAAATGAAGGGGATATGCATATTTTCTGTGATTGGTACTATT